AGAGTTCCTAATCCTGTAGGACATTGTGATCTTTGCAATAAGTGTATTACAGGGTGATTTGGTATTATCAACTGAGTTGATAACATAAATTGGCCACCACGAGGAGTTTCAAAGATGACAATTTGAGCATTAGCCCTTCATCAGAGCAAAAGAGATTTGATAATACCAAATTACCCTGTTATACTCTCCCACCAAAGCAGCACTACAGTTTCTTTAGAAACCTATTCCCTTTATTAAAGTGTATGACACCAGCATCTTTATGTATCAATTTTAATGATGAAGAATTCAAAGATGTAAGGCTCTCCAGAAGTTTACTGAAGTTGTCAGTTTTTGGCTTAATATGCCTGTAGCTACATTAGTCACTTCATACTCTTTTTTTGAAGTTTTTATGCACCATTATTAGTGAAATAAAATGCAATTCTACATTGAAAGCTTTTCACACACCTCTGCAAGTTAGGCTTGCAGACTAACAGAAATGGCATTGAAATATGCAACACTGTAACCAATACAAAGTTCGTGATGCAGATCTTTGTAAAATTTGATTACTGTACTAGTCTAACAGTGAAACTGACACAAGGTTAAATGAGCAATCAAGCAATCAGTGGGGTACATGAGCAAGCCGCAACAAAGAAAACAGAGCGGGCACACAATGCACTCAACCTTAGGCATGTACTGCACTCAATGATACACTGTATAGATAAAATCTTGTTATGCTCTACAACTAATTTTGAAGCTACAAATGTTAACTATGAAATACTACATTTTTCTTTTTTTAAACTAATACTGTTATGATTGAATCTATACACACAGTTTTAACTACTGTACCACTCTGCAAGGACAATCTTAGCACTAGTTAAACCTTCCAAGTCAAGCTACAATGTCTTTTGTTGGAAACCGAAGGGTCTGAAAAATTTTAGACTTGATAACCAGCCACTGTTCAGAAATAAGCCCTACCCTTCTAGAAGTTTCCTCATTTACCACCTTGGTGTCTGTGAGGCACAGGCAAAAATTTTTTAAAGGAGCTTGGAAGAATGTTTTGATGCAGTATGCTTCTTGTTGCCAGAATCAGAAACTCATAGTGTTAATTATGTTGACACTGCCACTTAACAAGGTTTATGACAACTTCTCTACAAATGCAACCAGCATCAAATTCTGAATAAGAACTCGCTATGGATATCCTTTGTCCTAAACTTGAGACAAATTTTTAAGGTTGTTTTATCTTATCAAGTTGCCTTCTAAATTACCCATGTATGGGGAAACACGTCAAAAGATGCCAAAACAATGTTGAGTGCCAAACAACACAATCAACTTGCCAAAAGTTTGTCTACACTTTATACACTTGCATAACTGTATTGGTTATCCATAAGGAAAAAAAAGCTATTGTTAAATCTTGGGACCAAGAGGCTCAAAACTGTGGTACTGTAGCTGTTTATCCCTGGTTTCTATGGTATGAGGTAACTGGTAGTATATCAACATGGCATAAGATCTCAGTCCTTAGCAGCTATCCCCCAGTCCTCCTCACTTTTTGAGGAAAGCTAACTGGTACCCATTTATACTCCTGGGTGGAGAGGGTTACCGTGAGGTTAACTAGTCTTGTCCGAGAACTTAACAGGGGATTGAGCCAGGGCTCGAATCTCTCTATTCGGAGTCCACAAGGCTTACCACTTTGCCTTCGTATCACCACACAAACAAACAAACAAACAAATTCCAAACTTAAAGCTAAATAAATGTGATGCGATGACATTTGTTTCCTGACAAAGATTACTGGAATTGCATTTTGCATTACAATCAGACATTAAATGCAATGAACTTATAAAGTTGAGTATAACCTACAAATAATTGAAATAAGTCCTTCAACTGTTTTCACTCCTAGATGAGACATACAGTTTGCTTCACTTAACCAGCCAAAGCTCACAAGAAGTCACCACATTCAAGAGCTTCAAGCAGGTCTTCACCTTGCAAAAGATTAATGTTCTGAACTGGTGCATTCACTTCAGCTTCCCATGTACTGATGTTTGGAAACAGTGCTTTCCCTTTGTGGGCCGTCTCGTTTGTCACATACCCATTGTGTTTGATGGCGGTAGGGATCTCCTTTCTGCTCAAAACCGGTGAGCATGAGTTAGACAGACTTGGACGACGGTTGTAAGATAGAGGCTTGACTGGAGGTAGCATGATGGCACTTCCTGGAGATGGGATACTTTCATCTGCATTTAGCAGCCACGATGAGGGTGATGGTATCATGGGTGAATCGAGGAAAGGAATTTCCACCAATAAATCATCATCGCAATCCAACTCTGAGTCCATGATTGAAAGTGGAATAAATGGAGCACGTTCGTCAAAATTTTCCTCCTCCTCATTGGCTACTTTTCCTTTATCAATATTTTGGTCGTTACTTGGTGAAGGAATGTAGGGGACTCTATTTTCAGCAGTGCTGTTTTCCAAGCGGGTGGGACTGGGCGTGTCATCACCATAGTGTGTTTGTAGCAGCTTCTCATATTCCTTTTGTTGCTCAATGAGGTCATCATTAGTGTCCCATGCCACTGGAAAGAACTCCTGACAACCACAAAAATAAATTATGATAAATATACAATAAATCATTTTTGTGAGGTGGATCTGGTAAGCACTAAGGTTTTATTGGACACAGTGGAGTGTTCAGTCTCTAAAGGGTTCCAAGGTTCCTTCACAAGAAACAATAGACAATGTTGCATTTTCTAGGCCCAGCTCACCTGAAAATTAATGTGGTCACAGTCAACATCCTCAAGACACTGACAGGATTTCTTTGCTACCTGTTTTGGGGGTGTCTTCATACAGCAGGTATTAAGGTTGCTCTCCTTCTTTGGTTTGACATCTGCACTTGGACGCTGTTCATGCGCTGCTGCCTTGAGCACCTTTGTACGTTCCTCCAGCACAATGGAATGTTTTCTTCTGGTGCCCCTTCCTTTTTCACATTCTTTCTTAACCACCAGGTCAAGACCTAGAGGTGCAGGTACAGGGTTGACTTGTTCTGTGGACAGTATGTACTCCTTCTCGTCAACTCTCCTGGAAAAATTAGGGAGATTACAACTGATAAGTCTGAGTAAACTTTGCTCATGATATACTAAAGGAGATGCCCCTTTTACAGTGGTTAATTTTAGGAGTTGAAAGGCGCACTAACTTTTAGAGACATTTCCCACAAGGGTGAGCTTAGTGGACAGGTCTTAAGTCTCACAGCTATTGTGAGACACTGTGTAAGGATGATCTTGATAATAGATAGACATTTTTTAAGGGAGCAGATATCTCCCAAACAGCATATGAACACTTAGAGAATTCCTAGAGTACATTAGAAATCTGCCACACCACTCCTCTTCACTGAGTGTACCCATATACTTCTGCTGTGTTCTTGAGCTAATCACTATTCCATTAAAAAGTATTTATTTACAAAATTAAAATCAATCCTCTTGGTAACTTACATGATGATGTAATTTGTGCAGAGGACAAACTGTGGCTGACATGTCTTACTGTCGTAAACAATGTTGGCCTTAGTCTGAAGCCACACCCATCCTCCATTGCGAAGTAAGAAGCGGTAGTACTTACTCACAGACTGGCCTTTGGTCAGCACTGAAATAAAGTGAAATAAAATTGTTAATAGTAAGTTTTATCTATAACTGTTCTCTCTTTAAGGCTTGATTGTTGCTGCTTTTTCAAACCTGATTTTTGTTTCAAACAGGCTCAGTTCCTGATTAGTGGCTATTTAACCTTTTATATCCTAACATCAGCAAGCATATTCTTAATACAGTTCACTATACCTTTCCTAAGGTGCTGAGAAGGAGAATTTGTGTAAAAATTGAGAGCTTCTGTAGTTGGTGATCATTTCCTTAATTCTCATAACCTGAATGTGTTCTGAGAACTTAGATGCTGGTCATTCATAGGGGTGAAACAGCTAACAAAACCTTACACCTGTGCTCTTTTCAAAATTGGCCTTTCCAGCTGGCATGTCATTGAACAGAGCACATGTTACAGGTATCAGAAAAAGTTTGAATGAAAAGCAGCTTGAGGAGAGGGAGGAGAATGTTGTTGAGATGACTTACAAGTCTTGTGGCAGGCTAATGCTGTGTCCAAGTCACAAGCATGTTGGAAGTGGTACCAGGACTTGCCAACAATCTCTGTTGGTGTGAAACCAAGGAGGTCTGCAACACTGGAGGAAAAAAAAATACAAAATCTTCAGCAGGTGAAATCATTGGACAAGGCATGAGAGCTAAAAAAAAAGGGCTGTAACTCTCAAGGATTGTGTCAGGCAAATTGCCAAAGTTTCACTCAATCTTATCCCAGACTATGAACTATTTTGTCTGCACCATAAATCAAAAGCTCAAACAGGATGTAACATCTTAGTTTTTCTTTTTTCCAGTAAGCCAATAGCAGTGAAAAACTAAAATAGAGAAGCTTCTGTATACACCAAAAAAAAAATTTATCTGTGATGTTAGATAAAAATGTTCACTCAAACAGGGTAAGATTAAGTTTCTTCTGCAAAGAATGAGTTTGTAAATAAGACAAGCTTGGGAAGAGGACAAAAATTGAAAAACTGCAAAAGCAAGGTGATGATGGCGTGCATTCAATTAATTACATACACCCACCTGTCATCACATGACAGGAATTTCATGTCAAGACTGTGACGACTGGTAAAGGTGGCTCTGTCAAGTGGAACTTCAAAAGTGGATGTGAACATAAGCGGAACTCCGATGGCGACCATAAACAATGGAACCTTCTCTTCTCCTGACTCTGAGACTTTCACAGACATTTTCATGCAACCAGTGCAGTGGACAACCTGAAGATGCAAGAGAGAAACTCAACAAAACAAGCATTTAATCTTTAAATCCTAAGAGAGTTTAGAATTAATTTCTCCCTACAGTAACATCCTTGAATCAAACCTTAAGGTTATTAGAATATAGGAAATGATCACTGGCCAAAGAAGCTGTTGACTGTCAAACAACGTCTGCTTGTTGTATAATGGAGAATACTCATAAATTAATGTTAATCCTTTACACCCTAACATCAGTATGCATATTCTCCATACTGTTCTCTATACATTTCCTAAGGTGCTGACAAAGAGAATTTGTTTAACAATCAAGAGCTTTTTTAGTTGGTGATCATTTCCTTTATTCTCATGATCTTAAATCAATGATTCAGCAGTATTATTGTAAGGAGAAACTAGATGCTGGTCACTCTAAGGGTTTAAAGGGTTAAGGTGTATGACAGTGATTTAGCCAAAAATCTCTTTGTAAGGCTACGACCATTTGGTTGACATGATAAATTTTAAAGTGATTAACCCTCAAATGAAAGTCATGGAGCAGTACTTTCATGCACAAGACTTTAGGCTCTGTAGATGAAACCTTATGTGTGACCATTTGAGAGAAAGGTAAAGAACAGTTATTTTATAAGGCAGTATTTATTAGTCTACCCATTCATTTTGATAATCAAGATTTTGGCCTTACTCTGTAAGTTGAGGCTCGAAGGTTAACATTCTTTCCTCTGCTTGTCAGTGTGCTTTTTATGCGCAAGAAAAATGACTTGTGAGGGTTCTCGTGCATGGATTTTTTGGATCCACCCTTCAAGTGATTGCTCATCATAAAGACAGAATCAGAACAGAACAGGCCATCGAAGATTTCCATATCTTCAAGAGGGATCTGTCCACCAAGCTGATTGGAAAGTTCCTCATGATCACAGGGGTGGATGTATTTGTAGAAACTGTTACCAGTTACTTCAATCTGTCCAGGAAAAAAAAAACACAATGGAGTTGTATTTAAGTCTTCCATAATACTGACACCTGGCCAGTTGGGTTATGTAGATTAAAATGTTAGGAATAGTTCAGTGACTAACCTCTATATTTAACCTAATAGAAAGGAAGATCAGCACCTACTAGCCCTTTGCCAGAGTGAAAAGAGAAGGGCTAACCAGCTCTGACAAAGGGCTTACACTCACAATTCTTTCTCCACAATAATTCATTATGTGGCAGAAAGGTAATCAAAATAGGCAGAGTAATTAGGTGGTGATTAACTTCTCTTAAACTGTTTAATAAAGAAATATATTGTAGCCAGTGGGGAGAATTTAGAATAAGATCATAGCAGTTTAAGGTAATTTACCTGTGTGAGTCCCATGTAATGGGTGATGTTATCTGACACATAAATGCACTGGCCATCTGGTGTTACAACAAAGACAAACCCATCTAGTGCCTAAAGACATACAGAATATGGTAAGTTTTTTAATATGAGTGTTAATTCTCCTAGTTCACTATCAGGTTTAAAGTCCCAACAGATCTTGAGGCTTGTTACTGCCGATTGAAAGCTCATCTGTAGCATGAGGTGGTGAGATGCTAAAATGGTGCCAAGCTTACCTCCAGTGATGCCTTGTCATATACTGTGGTATCTGCTACATTGAGAGACACAATCTTCTTCATGTCTGAAATAATTTAAGAGAGCAATTAATTTAAACCAGCATAATTTTGAATAGCTGTAAGTTGCCAATATTTGAAACTGTGAGGATAAAATCCTTACCTTGGGACACCAGAGATTGAAGAAGGTTTTTCATTTTAATGTAACTATTAACCAGCCGCATGATGCACAGCCTGTCAAGCTGTGATGAAAGTCCTGCGGGCAGTGGCAGCTGATTGGCAAGCTCCACAAACTCATCGTTCTGCTGTCCTCTCCTGGATCGTGCTGCATCACGTGATCTTCTCTTTTTCTGGTTCTCGCTGTTTAAGAGAGTGACAAACAGTTAAGGGATTAACCCTTTCAGTCTGCAGAGTGATTAACATGCTACTTCTTCCTGTAATATCCAAACATTATCCAGCAAGCAGGTTGTGACAGTAACTAAAATTATTAGGAGGAAGGTTATCTCTTGCTAAGGTACATGTAATCTCGGCAAAAATGGGCCAAGATTTTGAGCTTTGCCCAGCTACATTGAATCTATTTTCAGACAGGTTTTGACTCTGGATTTTTTTTGGCAGCCCAATATCAATTTGAAAATCATTAACATTTGAGCTAAGAAAACCTGGTCGGTTTCTATAATAATCTGGCCTAAAACAGGACAATTTGATTTTACACAGATCTTTTGAAATTGGTACCTCTAACAAAAGGTACTAGATTGTAAAACATCCTTCAAAAATATGGTAATTAAGTAACACTTGTAAGACATAAATAGCAGCTGGTATATGTAGAAGTGTTAGCATCACAGAAATAGCTCAGAAAAAGATTATTATAGCAAGATAATGAAAATGGAAAACAACATTCGACCTCATGGACAGTTATCATGGTTTATCGATAAACAACGATGTAAATGTTCGCTTCACGAAGTCTACCTAATTCTGATGCAATTACCAAAGAAAAGGGGAAAAAAACTCGATACAACCTTCCGAAACGCTCTTAAACGAACAATATTTGCACAGTAAACGTTTGCGAGCCAATAAATGCACATCAAACAAATAATTACGATGCAATCACCAATCAGACCACTAGTTGGGACAAACAAACATTAAAATTACCGAAGTCCAAATCTAAATTTGTGCACACGTCGTTTAATAAACTTCATATCAAATTAGTATTTCCTCGGTTTCATCGACAATCGAAAGCACTTTGGTTTTTCACAAACAATTAGTGCACTATGTGAAAGTACAATCGCCTACGTGTTATTTAAGGCCTTGTTAAAGGAGCAATGGCGAATTTTGAAGGAAACGTAACAGAAATCACTTTCGAACCACACAGGACGAGATAGTTGATTTAGTAATATCTCTTTCTTGCCAGACATTACGCAGCAAAAAAAATGTACCAAAATTAGTTCGATTGCGTGTTTGATACAAGCAAGGAAAACTTTTAGGTGTCATACTAATTGACGATCAATCTTCGAAGTGTCAGGCGCCTGGAGTGAATAATGACTTAAGATTTACTCACGAATGTGACAAAAATTATTATTTCTAAACAATTTAAATCCTTACTACTCCCTCGAGAGTCACAAATTGCAATGCGTGATAGCTAATTCTAATATAAAGACAAAGAAAGCGCAGACAAAACGAACCTATTTTTGACTGCCTTGCTAGCCATTCCTCTATGAACGGATGTTGTTGTCTTCGTCCGGTGATCTGTTGTCGATATATTTGCTTGCTCCAAAGGTTCCCACACAGTCTCGAATCTCTGTCAAGGATTGTGCAAGAATTCCTCTTTGCTTAAGGGTGATCCCGGGTTGAAAACTATCTTGGTAACTCTTTCTGTTGAATCCGTCCCCGCGGTAAGATACGGCGGAGGGTTTCTGCGAAATCGAGGCAAAATATTGGTTTACAATCTTCACCATTGCGAAATTATTACCCACTCTAATTTTCATCCGCAGCAAATAACAGAGCTGTAAAAAGAAATACGCTCTCAAAATAGCGAAAGAGTGATAAGACACTTACTAAATCGCTGTTGGTTTAGAACTTTTGTGAATTTGTTCCGTTGAAGCCGGATTGTGCGATAGCGTGATGTGTTTGGATGAGAGACGTAGTAGCATTGCTGTCTTGAAAACTTGAAAACGTGCTTTGAATATATTTTAATAAATTACCATAGTAATACTATTGTATTCGGGTCAAAGTTGTTCTCACAAATTCCCTTTTGAAAGTCATTTATGGTATTTACGGTGGAAACGTGAAAGAAGCAAATTTATTTGACGTTTCATCATAAAAAAGTACAAAGGAAGTGCAAAAACATCTCAACGGCCCGGAACATCTCTCCTTTTACCTTTTAACTTTTAAGAGTTAATGGTTAGTTAAAGATTTCGGAAGCCTTTCATAGATTGTAAATAAGATTATGACGTCAGTTGACAGACCGTGTCTTTAGCCTGCTTGATACGTGAAAATGACGAAGTAATCTATTTTGCACTTTGCTGTTTTTTTGTCAAATTGATTTTGAAGTAACAATTACACGAATTGAGAGAATTTTCGCCAAATTCAACGGAGAATGTTATTTGAAATTTAAGTTATGAGCTTTGACCGCCCAATATCGTTTCAAAAGAGGGCAAAATAGGGTCCTTCAGCCCTTGCATATATTTTCGAGACCGAGCTAGATGCTTATCTACACAGTGGTGGACCAATCAACGGGGCGCGTTTAGATTTATGACGTCAAATAATTTTTCGGTACTCTCGCCGAGGCCACTAGGGCGGGTATAAGCGGTGGAGACCGCCCAAACTTGATTTGACATGCTCCGAGGCGTGCTCCATGATCCTTTTATTCCATGTTGAAAGCTGTTTACCAAGACGCTATGGAGACAATTTACATTGTTTGCCCGGTGTTAGGAGATGATGCCGAAAACATTATGCATGATATGTTTCTGAGGAAAGAAACAGAGATAGACCACGCAGTAAAATAAAAAATCTTGTTGCACGCCAATTATTCTTTTTTTCATTCATGTATCATATGTAAGGCGTAGTTGATTATCTCTGTAGCAACTGAGCTATTAATCTTCATTTCACAATTATTGTAATAATTTCTTATCGCTAATTCCGCAATCTTCCGAGGTCTTGCAACTTTCATGGGATTGACAAATGCTTTCTGGGAAAGGAATCGACAAGATTGGATGTTACTTTTCATTTTCAATTTCCGCACGTGACTAAATGTGGCTGTAATTTCCGCACGAGACAAAATGTGACTGTTTACTACTCTCGCGTGGTGATTCTCACGTGCGCACGTGAGGTGTGTTTTTCTTAGCAAAGAAAGATGTGATATCCCTGAAAACAAGATTAAAGACTGAAATTTGAGCTCGCTCTTGAAATAGGGCCAGGCCATGGTTGGAATTCCCCAATAAATACTGTGAAAAGAGCTTAAAAGGACCCTAAGGAAACTTGCCAAATTGTCTTCTAATCTAATTTGTTACTAGTTCATATCATAGGTCATGATGTCTTTCCCCTCTAGTGTTCACCGTTTAAAAATTTTTATCTCACACACTTTTTATTTCACCATTAACTATAAGATCTATTAAGAGAAGCATTTGGTCACGAATATGAAATTATCGCTTAACTTTCATGTATTTTGAAATAAATTTCTTAATGCGTATTATAATACACAGGAAATTTAATCCAGCGTCAAAAATAAACAATTTCGATTTGGCCTTCTCGCAAAGTTTCACTTAGCAGCGTGTGGTTTATATCTGCCAAAAAGGGGTAAGAGCAATTGCAAGGGTATTTGCCATCAGGTTGAAGAGGTTGTCTACTGCAATTAACAATTCGTATTGTCTGAATGAAAATTATATGCGGGAAGCTATGTGGAATAACAAGTAGCAAAGTTCATAAGCCGTGATGTTTCTGGAAGGTTTTCAGATTTCTTTACAAAAGGTTTTTTTTAAGGATTTTAGGCCTGAGCGAGCACAAATTGATATCGTCCTTTTTGACCAATAGAGACATAGCTTCAAATTATTCAATCACTGAACGAGAGCAAGAAATGTAAGTTAGTTCACAGTGAGGGAGCTCCTAGCCTAACCGCAGCTACGTTGCTGTTAATCTTTGATTTTTACCGGCTTTCAGAGCAATTCTTCAATACTAACCTAGTAAGAGGCTTGTATGTGTACCTTGAGCACAGAAGCATCCAACAACTGAATGGATCGCGGTTAGTACGTTAGCACTGGACCCAGTGATGCTGGTTCACAGTGTTAATCATAGTCAAACATCCTGTTTTGAAGCAAGGTGCATTATCTATATCGTATTATTTACGCCCTCACGTACGTAAAACATACTTTCTGTAATATTCTTTGCATAATTGCAGACTTGTGCCTGACCGCACGTTTTCTGGTTGCAGTAATTGGCATGATTTATGCGTCGTTACCTTGACCTAGTGAACAAAACGGGGCACGAGATAAGGTCACAAGACAAAAGTTTTTTCCATTTTTTTCCAGTTTCATCCGTCAGTTTATGAGTTGACGCTGTCTGAAATGTAGGAAATTTAGTCAAAAATATCGGTGATCACATCTAAAAATTCGAACCTCAAGTCGAAACAGTTTCATCAAATAAGAAATTGCAGGAGGTGTCTTAATCCCCTTTAGCTTTTTCTACCTTTAAAAACCGCACCGTCATACTGCGTAAACAGTCTGTTCTATATGTATGGACCTAACGTACGTGATGTGCAGAAAAATACCTCCACGTCTGCACAAGAACTCAATGTGTATCTGATGTAAATAATTTCTCAGTAGCACTAAGCACTGTCAGTTATCAACTGCTTTTATATTTCAACTCAATCCGGATCTCCAAACTATATATTTGTGTCAATGCACAACTTATGACACTAATGAGAGTTTTACAATACGTGTCTAAAACATCAGATAGAGTGGAAGACGATATTAAAAAAACAATTAGTTCCCAGGGTCTATCCAAGTTTCCAGTTGAAATTAAAGATGGTGGACACGTCACGTGACGTCGCGTGACTTTATCAAACTAACTCATCTCAAATCGGTTTGATGACAGTCTCTGTTTGCCAGTGGTTGAGAGAAAAAATAATCTCTAAAGAGACTAGTGTCTCGGAGAAAAAGGATTTTAGCATTTATCAAAGCCTAATTTAGTAATATCTACATGCTACATGGTACCGACTAAAATTTTTCCCTTCTAAAAGGCTCTGGAAGAAACAAGAGAATCTGAAATAATCGGCAAATTGAATTCGACAAAATGCTTATCCTAATTTCTTCGTAAAAGTTGTGGCCACCATACCCTGTCCAAGAGCTAAACATCTATCAAGTATGAATTTTTAATTTATATTGATTATTTATTTCTCGATATCTCGGCTCTAATTAACATTGTAGAGTTAAGATTTAGACAGATATTTTCAAATAGTAATAGAATTTCTGAGTTTATATATGCCTTAATGAAAGAACAGCGATTTTGTCCTGTATGATGAAAACTTTGAATTGACAGAATCTGTCTGTCATGGATATAAAAGCGGTCAAATTCAGATTACATTTTTAGCCATAGCTTTTGGGACCGTGTCCAATTCATGTTAAAATGCACAGCAAATAACTGTGCAACCCTTCGGTTGTAATTTGTTGCGAATCCACAAATCAAAAAGTATTGAGCAAGCCCTTGGTCAGCTTTAAAAATTGTGTTTTGAAAATGCAGCTTTTGGTGAACTGGCAAACGTAGGAGAAGTGATCTTTAATGAGGATGCCCCACTCATTCAAACATGATTTTCAGGGAGGTCCGAGCTAAATGTCAAAAAATATAAATAAATAACGAGGATATCAAATATTATATATAAAAGATTGTAAAATATAACAAAGGTATATGCAAAATAGAAAAAAACGATGCTAAGAAAAAATATTATCAATTGATTTCTCAAGGCAATGAGGCAATGAGCTATAGCACATATGCTATTGGCCAAACCGATCTATTTTTAAAATTTTTCTTTTTTTACATGTTTACTTCTTCTTCAAGCGTTAATGAATTTAAACCAACCAGGAATTCCAAAAGAAACAAATCCGATGAAATGTAAATGTATTCATAGCAAAGGCCTTTGTATTTCGTGGGTCCAATTCAAAGATTCTTCACCAAGATGGCAATCGAAAGGTAAAACCACTAGATTTTAACTACCGGCCGGAAACTAATATGAAATCCAGATGGCCTTCTTAATTTTTAGAGGAGGAAATGTAACTTTAAATTTTTGTAGCAGAAGGTATTCAATACGCCTAGGTCTTTAAAAAAAATTGCGAAAATGAGCAATTTTAGACTACCGTTTCTAAGATAATGTGACTGACTGCTTTGATTTGACAACATAGCCTTGGTTTATTTTATACCGTACGTTCTAAAGGACGGATCATTTGATCTATGATCGATTTTCCATGTAGGGTAGCTTACACGAATGGAGAAGACTCACTATGCCACAATCTCAGATGTTTGCAGTCTCAGTGGTCACTTGAAAATTACTGATAATAAATCAATGTGTCGCAACAGGGCCTTTGTGATTGACTCCTGGTTGCAATAATTCAAACCTTTACGATGCAAAAAAAGAGATAGAGCTGACATCGCCATCCACGGGTTCAAACGAAGTCGATAAAATTGCAGGAGCAATTTGCTTCCAGAGAAATCGCGATTGAACTCTTAACTTGGACTTGACACAGGGCACAGCTTAAGAATGGTCAAATTAACTCAAAGAAAAAGAGGCGAACAGTTTAGGAACTTTAGTTTTCGCGAAATTTTATCAACTTATATTTCCTTCGGTTCTTTTAGAGTCGACACTTGCACATGTTGCGGTAGTATTTTGAACAGAGATCAAGTTATTTATTCAATATATATGTTTTATTTCAATATTTGGAACAGTAAAACTAGGGTCTGATAAAGTAATCAATTCCTTAGCTCCATTTCATTCTTCATAGTCAAAAGATGAAACAAAGATAACATTTCTCGAGAGGCCTTAATTGAGCGAGTTTAGATTCAACTCTCTTTCTCGTGCGTAATTATTTTGTAATTTTGCTGATTAATGTTCACTTTAATTTCTCGATTTGGTTCGGAGCACATTTTCAAGATCAGTTGAGTGTCCCCCGAAGGCAAAACGTAAATATC